GGAAGAAATGTTACCTTATTTATGTCTATTCCTAAGTTCATTATCAGTAAATCATTATTTTCTAAGTTTAATTATGATTTGTTTAATAATCAAGTCAATGTAAATTTGAAATTAATTTGAAAAATTAATTCTTCAGGTTTATTTGTTCAAGTCTTTGCAACTTAAAACTAGTGGGATTTGAAAAATAGACTTGTTGGCATGTTTTCCTTTATTTCTGAATAAAGTCTAAATTGGGGCCCTTGGGGTTTTAGCATCACCCATCCAATTAAAGGCTTTCAATGGTTTTAAAAATTATAAAAAATAAAATGAAAATCGAAATCTCAACGTGTAGGCAACTAAATGAGAGGAGAAAATAAAATTTGTTGGATTATTTATGGAATATCATTAAATTATCATTAGTCCTTAAAATTTAATAGTCTCGTCAATCCAATTTCAATTCTAATTAATTTTTCATATAAAATCCAATTTCAATTCTAATTAATTTTTCATATAAAATTATATGTGAAAATATGTTAAATGATAATGCAAATCTCAAAATGCAAATTAAGGCAAGCATGAGGTGAAATGCAATAATTAAAAATATTGGTGAAATAGATATGTGATTTTTGACGTGCAAAATTCGCAAAAATTTATTGTGGAATCTCATTGAATCTTCTTCGGATTCTAAAATTAAAAGTCTCCTCAAATTAATATTGAATCCAAGTCAAACCCTAGCATGAATTTCATACATGAAAAAATATACAAGTCAAGACAAGCTAAATGCAAAAAGTGTGAATGATGAGCATGATTTTCCGGTAAAATAGGAAATATTTAATATTACAGTAATCTATTCAAAAATAATTATAGAGTTTTGTTAGGCTATCGTAAATCCTTAAAAATATGAGACTTATTAGCGTAGTATCGGATCTGAATAAACTTCTCACATAAAATTGTATATTTAAATAATTCAAGGATATGATATGCAAATAATTACGAAAGAAGGACAAAAATAAAAATGTAAATTCTTGACGAAAATAAAAGGTAATGTTGATATGCAAAATGTCAGCACACGTTAATTATATATAGCAATGCATGCAGATGGGAAATCTATCATATTTATTCAAGGCCAATATATATATATACATTGCAAACATAAAATAGATGCTTAATTAAACAACAACAAAAATAGAGCCACTAAAAAGAAATTCACCTAACAAATTACGGATAAAATGACTCAAATGGCAAACTTTTAAAAGAACGCATTCTCTTTTCCAAAATTTTCTTATGCTATGTAAAACAAGGATAAAATTGAGGGCAAACTAAGTTAAATTACTGAAAAATAACTAAATTAACAAACTAAGAACCAAACTGAATAAAAAGAAAAGCAAAAATGAGAAAAATATTTTATTCTACGAATTAGTCTTTATTATGTAAAGTAAGGGTGCAATTGAAAAACAAGTGATACTATTAAAAAGACACAAAGCAACATATAGATGAACTAAAATGCAAATAAAAAGGTAAAATTAAAACAACATTCTTTTTTTATTTAGCCCTTATTATGTATAAGGAGGAGCACAAATGAAGACCCCAACCTAAACTAAGTTACTGAAATAAAAGAAAGCAACAGAAGTAGGGATTAAAATACAAATAAAAGGCCAAAATTGAAATTGCTTCTACTTCTTCCCCTCCCCAGTTCGTCCCTGTTTTGGCAGAAATAAGATAAACCAAGTTGTCTTATTCATCTCAAACTTAACCCAAGCTTTGAACATGAAGACCAGGAAAAGCTAAAGATAAAACCTTTGAATTCTGAAAAAAATAAAAAATAAAAAAGGAAGACTAGATATCTTCAATCACATTTGCAAATAAACAAGCTTTAAACTTTGCAAACCATGATTGTTGAAACCCAACTCAAGCTTGCATATGCCTAATCAATAGGGATGCCCCCGCCCCGCCCTTAACAATTGTTGCCCCATCGCCGCCCCATACCCGTTTGGGGTGCTACTTCACATACCATCCCTGCCCTAAACAGGGTTGGGGATTCCCGCAGGGAATCGGGGCCTCGTTGAACATTTTGTGTCTGCCCCGTTTCATCCCTATTGTGCCACGTTTAATTCCCCACCCCACCCTGTTCCCCCCCCCCATTATGCCCCGTTTAGTTCCCCGTCCCACCCCGTTTTGCCCCATTGTGCCTCGTTTAATTCCCCGCCCCACCCCGCCCATTCCGCTATAAAATTTAAAACTATAGCAAAAAAATTATAACTCATATAAAAAATACAAATTAAAAAAAAATAATCATTTATTATCATATTCAACTACAAGTTTACTATACAATTCATAATATATTAAATTCTTTTTAATCGAATAAATAACATATTTAATTAAAGCAATAAAATATCACAACCGTTAATATCACAAATACAATTAAAAATTCAAATCCTTGCATGTCTTTACTACTCATAGATCATCAAAGCTCAATCATCATATTCCACTTTGACGTAATCGTCGATTATCGCATATCCTACATTGATTAAATTAAAAGTGAATTATTCGTCACAAAATTTGTTCATGCTATCATTTAAACTTTGACATATTATTTTATACCTTCATCTTCTTCGAATGCTCCTTATACATAGTACAATAACCATCCGAAACAAATGGAGTTCCACCTAGAAACAAATATAATAAACATAAACAACATATGTAAAAATTATAAGAAATTAATAACAAAAAAAAAAGATTTTTAGTAATTAGTATATTACCTTTATTTTCAGCTACCCACAACCAATTTTGAGAACACATTAATGCTTCCACCCTCTTTGTATGAAGTCTACTTCGATGTGGACTTACTAGCCTACCACCAACACTAAAAGCCGATTCCGAAGCAACGGTTAACACAGGAATTGCCAACACATCCTTAGCAATTGCCATTAAAGTAGAGTACTTTATCCCATTTACTTTCCACCACATTAGAATATCAAAATCTTTGTTTCTTGGAATAACACCCTCATCTAAGTAGTAATCTAGTTCTTTCTTGACAATAGTAACCTTCACCTTCTTCCTTGAAACATACAAGTCAAACTCGCATTCCATATCCTCCAAAACCGTTGAAGAATCATCCGAAGAGAGCTACCACATCCTCCATCCACCTTCATATTTTTTTGGTACTCAGCTACCAAACTATAACAAAGCTTCCTTATATTCTCAACTTGAACCATAGCCTCAATCCCGTAAATTTTCTCAAAATAGAACTTTAGTAAATCCATTTTGTACCTAGGATCTAAAACCGTAGCTACTCCCAATATTTCATGAATCACACTCCAATACTTATTGAACTTGACTAACATACTTTCCGCCACTTCACTAACCATTTGATTAGGACAAGTGAGCCATCGAGTCAATGCAATCTTAATTTCACAAATTTTAGTGAAAAGCAAATTAGATGTGGGGTATCTAGTTCCCGAAAAAAATTCAGTAATACAGTAAAAGATCTTCAATCTCTCACATATTTCTTTTGCAAATTCCCAATCACTATCGGTAGGTGCAACTTTATAATGAGGTTCACGACGCTTCAACCTAAAAAAATAATCCTTATATAACAAAGCAATTTCAAACATCAAATAAGTAGAATTTCATCTAGTTGGACAATCTAAAACCAATTTCTTCATGATAGGAATGAGAAGGAAGTTAGCGAGCATCCTCAAACTTCTCAACTCTTTTAGGAGTTGCTCGTCCAAAAGGCTACACTATCTTTAATTCGCTCAACCCCTTCCTTAATGACATCCAACCCATCTTTCACTATTAAGTTAATGATATGAGCACAACACCGCATATGCAATAAAGAACTAGAATTTAATAAATCTACAGATTTTAACTTATCCCTCACATGCTCAATCATAGAATCATTTGTGGAACAATTATCCAATGTAATTGTGGATAATTTTCCATCAACATTCCAATCCACCAAACAATCAATTAAAGCGATTGCAAAGACAATGCTTATATGTGGACAAGGAACATACATAAACCTAAAGCAAAACATAAATTAGTTATAAACTAAAAATATTCAACTAAAATAATTAAACAAGCATCATTAAGTTAATAAGAAACGAAAAGTACCTCAATAAGCAACTTCGTAACATCCAAGAACCATCAATATAGTGAGCTATAATTTCCATGAATCTTTTTTTTTATTGCTTGTTGTCCACAAATGAGTAGTGATGGCAATTCTACTTTCAAGTTTTTCGAAAACTCTCCTCATTTTGGCTCTCTCATTGTCACATATCTTGAAGGCATCATGTTTTACTATATTTCTACTTGGACATTTGAACAATGGTTGAAGAGTACTTATAAACTTTCCGAAGCCGATATGATCAACCATAAAGAGCGGGTATTCATGCATTATGATCATAGAAACAAGATCCTTTCTTCCCGTCTCTTGATCGAAGAATTAGACATTACATTACCAATTATATTAGAAGTTAAAACCTTATGTCTTATATCCGCAATTGTCCTTCTTGGGCATCCGTTGAAGTGATCATGAAAATGTTTGGTACCATTCTTTGACTTGCCATCAAGTTGCTTCTTGCAATAATTGCATTCTGCCTTTCCTTCACCATTCATAATTTTCCTTGTAAAATGACTCCGGATAGAACTATATCGCCTTTTAGAAGGAATATTTGAATCACTTTGAAGTTCACCCACATTTGGTTATGCAGATGAAATTGATTTGGTAACTAGAGTAAATGGAATAGAATTCGGATGTATTGGTGTAGAGTCCGTAGAGTGATGAGAGCCGCCTCTGTCTCCAAGGCTTGACATTTTCCGAAAATATACAATAGTTTAAAAATCACCGTTATAAAAAGATTAAATTTTCAAGACAAAACAAAAGTTCCCTTTGAAAACATAAATATTTTTTTGTTAATCAATATAAAATTATGAGGAGATTAAAGGTAATCAATAGTATTTTTTTAAAAAAAAATCCCTCAAGTAGAACTTCTACGCCCGGAGGGCCCGCCGGCGCTCTAGGCGCACGCAACGCCCGCAAGCCTACGAGCCCTCCGAGCACAGGCAAGCACGCGAGCGCCCGCCGGCCCGCCGGCATTCCAAGCGCATGCAACGCCCGCAGGCCTTCCAAGCGCAAGCGGCGCTAGCGGGCCACTGGCTAGCAAGCGCTCCAGGTGAAGGCGGCGCTGCGGCCGGCGCACGGAGTGCCCGCTAAAAATTAAAATCACCCAAGTGCCCAAGTTCAATTACAGAGTAGAACCAAACATAAAGTTGAAATTTTAAGCACATTTTCAAGAAACTAAGAGCCAAATGACCATTTTCATCCAAAAAACAATGATATAGCATTGTATTATCTTAAGCACATTTTCAAGAAATTAAGTCTACGAGCTCGTACTCTCTTCTACCCACCTATTTCCATTCCGTCATTTCGTGTCAAGCGGAAAATGACCATTGAAGAATCGAGCTAAATCATGCATCGGATCACATGTTAGATTGGCTAGAGAATAGAGATTCACGTATATGTGGTGGCGAAAAGGGATTAATAATTTTGATAGAGGAGCTAAAGTGCTAAACAAATATGTATAATTACCCGGTGGGTCGGTGGGTGACGCCGACGGAGGGCTATGGTGGTTGGCGAGTGGCGAAATGGCATCACAGTGGGGCTGCCGGGCGATAGTGGTGGGCGTCGTGGTTACGGGTGTGCCGTGGCCCGTGGTGGACCACCGGACGACAAGAACGACAAAGAGGAGTAGAGAACCACCTGGACCGGACGGCATTACGGCAATCATTTGTCAAGTGACTCAAATAGCCAAATTAAATCCTAACCCTAACTAGATAAGTATGGAGCGGGGCAAACGGGGTGGGGCGGCCAAAACCCACCCCCGCCCCATCCCCGTTGAAAAAAAAAAGTGCACCCCGCTCCCCATTCAAAGCGGGGAATCCCCGCCCCGTTTGCCATTCCTACTAATCAAGGCTAGCGATAACAACAAATAATAATAAGAAGAAGAATAATAATAATAATAATAATAGAGGAGGTGTTATACCTTGTAATGGCAATAATCGGATACTCGTCCATTAATTCAATATTTTATTATATTCATAAAAAAATATCTTCTTTATTATTCATTGAGAAATTATTATAAAAATTTTACCCTACCCATATTAGTTTATTCGTCCATTTAATATCGCTTAAAATTACTTTGTCAAAAATATTTCATTTTAGTCTTGTAATTTTTTAAAAAGTTTTTATAGTCCTTAAAATTTAATTTTTAACATTTTGGTCATTTATTTAAAAGCTTTTTGGTCCTCAAAGTTTTCTAAAAAAATATTTTGGTCCTTAATTTTTAAAGTTTATGAAATTAAATTTTTGTATATTTAAAAAAAAATTCAAAATAAATTATTGGATATTAATAGAATAAGTAGTGGTTATGTATATTCTAAAACCATATATATTTTTTATTTAATAGGTATTTATTAAGTTGTATAAAGCTATATCCAACTCATTATCATTCCTAGTTATACCTGCTAACACGAGGAGGAAAAAATTCGACAAAAGATGGGAATTGGAATCCTTGCTTTTGTTCTGCCTCATCTCTGTTGTTTTGTCCTCAAAGTGTTCTCTCAGTGCCGTCTTCCGTCTACTTTCTGCCTCCATTCTTGATGTTGTAGAATCGATCCACACTGTACGTCTCCTTTCTAATTATCATTTCGTCTTCTTAAACAAAGGCCTGAAAGCACGTTTTTTTTTTTTTTTTTCCTTCAGAGCATTGCAAAAGCAAGGTTTTGGGCAAATTTTTTTAGATCAAATGCAAAAATATTCTGCCGGCGATTTTATTCTCTTGGAGGGGGTTTTTTTTTTTAACGAAAATTATTTATTAAATGAAAGTTATTTTATTAATTATTTATGATGGAAACTTATTAAAAAATTTACTAAAACTTAAAAAATAATCGAAGGTAATTCTATTGTAAATAATTAAAAATAATAATTTTAATTTCGTTCGAAAAAAATTAAAAAATAAATATACATAAATATTTATTTATTTTCCATTGGTGTATTTCTTAAGTAATTTCTATCTGTATAATTAATTTTCTTGTAGAGTATTCCTTCTCGTCCTCTCTATTTTGTTCAGCCTCGATATCTTTTATTTTGAAATAGGAACCCAACGTTGCCTTAGTGATTAATATTTTTATATCAATGAAATGAAACAAAATGATTCTGTACTGTTCACATTCTCTTTTTGTTATTTTGTAAGTGCCAAACTCACGTTTTTTATGCGCTTATACTTCTTCTAAGAATAAAAAAATTAAAACAAACAGCTCATGGTTGTTTTTTATATTTATAAATAGTAAGATATTTTTAAATATACATATTTTTAGGCTAAGCCGAAAAATAAAACTAAAAAAGCTCTTTTCATAATTTATATTATTTAAAATAAATAGATTCATTGAATCCTAGAGAATTTCTAGTTTGGAATCCACTTCTGTCTGGTATAGGAGATATTTTGTCTAGTGATGTTGCTAGTATTTTTTTCTTGAAGTCTTAATTTGTACCTCCTTCCTCTATACCAAAAAGAAAAAAAAAAAAAGAATTTTCTAAACATTCAATTGATTATTTTTTAGATTTTTATTATTGTTTACCTTTTCTTTTCTTTTTTCTTTTTTTTTTTTTACAAGTAAAAATTCATCAGTGTTGTTTTCCTGGGTAAAAAAAAAAAAAAAAGACTCTAGACACTAGTATGTACTCTCAAACATAATTAAAATAAATAATCTAGTATGTAACACCCGGTAACTATTAAAAGGATTTTTTAATAAATTTAAATATATTAAAGGCAAGTGAAAAATGTTTTGAGGGCATGGAATAATCCACAAAGGGTTGAAAAAATATTTAGAGCAGTTAAGATGGTCTTCCCATGCTCAACGAATATTTTGTTGATTTTAAGAATGCATGAATAGTGACTTTTGAGTGAAATAATTATTTTATGCATGACGAATGTGAATGAAAAATGTTTTCTTTGCATAGAATATTTGTTAGTGGGGTGTTAGATTATTCGATATTGTTGGATGAATTTTCCGATATTCTGTGAATATTTTATTTGAATTGAATTATGCAAGAATAGTGTTTTTGAAGTAAATTATTTAATTTAGGTGCTTTAAATGTATAAGAAAATTATCCAATAGGCATATAAAAATCATTTAGGATGTGTAGGAATATTTAATAAACTTTTACTATGTATAAGGAATATTTTAGATAGGAAATAGTATATTTTAACACAAAATAATTAATCTAAAGGCCTAAATAAGTGTATAAAAATTATGTGAATGATGATTAAATACTTTTAGGAAGTTTTTGAATTTATTATGAAAAGAAATTGAATTTTGGAAAGGTATGGAGTAAAATTTTAGAATTAGAGACCTAATTGCACGAAATTAGGGACACGATCGCATAAAATTAAAAATTTGAACTTTCAAATTAAATTAGATATCAACTTTAGGAGTTAAAAAGTTGTTAGGAAACCTTTAAAGGAAGGATATAAAGTAATCAATTGAATAATTGAAGGACTAAGGTAGAAGTAATTAGAGAAAAGATTAGCAACTTTAAGGACTACAATTAAGAAACTTTTGGGAGGATTTTCTTCACCTTTTTGCAGCCCATTTCAGTTCAATGATTAAGGTGTAATTAATGCATGCACAAATGCAAGGATTAGATTAAAAGAGAGTGCTTTGATGGAGGGACAAAATTTAAAGATTTAATGGAAGTTTAGGATGAAACCAATTGAAAGCTTAGGATCAAAATAAAAATTAAGGGTCAAGATTAAATCAAATGAAAGCTTGTGATGGAGTCAATCAAAGGGGAAAGTCCACCTAAATTCCTATAAATATGGGTGGTAGAAATTATGAAAAAATGTTAGAAAATTGGAAAATTTAGGAGAAATTCTTGTAAAATTTTCATACGAATTCCATCTTAAATTTTCACTAAAATCACCTCCAAACACTTCAAATCACTTAGTTAAACAAGTAGTTCAAGCTAGAGTTAAACAAGTAGTTAAACAAGTAGTTCAAGCTAGAAGAGGAAGGATTATCAAAGGAGAAAAATTAAGCTTGGGTCGAATTTATTAGAGGAAAAGGAGGAAAGAAATTTCACCCTTCAACAACAAATTGGAGTTTGTTTATGTAAGTTAATCTCACCTACACCATAACGAGTGTTTAATTGATACTAATTGATGTTTTGCATGCTTTAATTTGTGATTTTTAGCCTTAATTTTGAAAATTAGGGTTAGGGTTCTTGATAAGAAAAAATTGAGAAAAATGAAATTAAGTTAGAAATTTATGAAATTGAAGTAGGAACATGTGAATTGAGGTTAAAATTAAGGTTTAGAAATAAAAAATTTCTAGAGTTAGGAAGCACCAAACTTTCAGCCCAAAATAGCAAATTAGGGGTTTTTTATCCTTTGGTTTAATTGTTGTTCTATGGCTTAGTTATGTGTTAATTAGGTGTAAATTAATATTTGTGAATGAAAATTTGCACTAAAATTGAAGCAATTTCATTGAATTGCTTAGGGAAGCATTCGGCCCAAATTCCTAATTTTTAAGGTTTTGATTCCATCAATTAATTCATGAACTATTGGTTACTTAGTATCTGAATAAGTATGATTTGATGAGTGAAAGTAAAAAATTTCATGAAAATTGAAAAATTTTACCTAATTTAGTTGGGCCTAAATTACGCCCATTAAGGCCTAATTAGGGTTTATACATGTATTTAACCTATGAATGGCAAGTTTATTAATTCTTGATGTTAATGTGTAATTGAATAACTTATTATGAAATATTGGTGATGAAATGAGAAGAAAATAATGAATTTAATGCTAGGGTAAGGTTCGACCAAGGTTGAAAATTTTAGGGTTAAAGGTTTGGTTTATGTAATTTAATTGAAATTGAATTCTTTTGGTGTCAATTTATTTGCATGATGTGTTTATGATGTGTAGAAGTTGTGATTTAATGATTATGAAAGTGTGTTGCTTTGTAATTTGAAATGGTGAATTGTTTGGTTTGGTTGAAATGATGGATTGTTTAGAATGATTTTATTGAGCTAACGTTTATGGTGCATTTCTTGTTGTTAAATTATGTAGTATCATGGCATAAATACATCTCACTCATGGCATGCATTTCATGAAACAATAATAGTTATGCATCTTCCATAAAATGCATATGCATGCCTAATTTTATGAAAATGGTTTAAAGTAATGAAAAATATGTTTTTATATCATGATTTTTCAATAGCAATTGGAAATATTTTATGGAATGTGATTTTCATGACTATGAGGATTTATATGAGGAGGGCTTCAAGGGTTTTTCATACTTTTATGGTAAATGGTTCGGGATCCGACAAGTGCAAACGTGCACTTTTAGAAACTTGGTAGGGTGCGTCCGCGGACAGGTCCGATTCGTCGGGAAAATTATGGGAACCACGAAGTGCTTAATATGGGACATGCCCAAAGATAAAAAAGAATTTTCAGATTGGTCATGAAAAAGGATTTATGACATGAAAATGATTTATGATATGAGCATGCAAATGATTTTTTTATGCATTTCATTACATACATAGATTAACTTAATGAGATATCGCTCACTTAGTGTTTCTTATGGTGTATATAATACGGATAATCATGACATACTTTTTCGTTGAGTTAATTATCGAGGGATGCACACGATCCGTATATATTAGATGAGGTTTTGGTTTTCGAGTTGACTCGTTGCATGGTGTGTTCTTCATGGCAATGGGTATTGTAATGTATGTGCTAGGATTAATCTGGTTTGTTTTATGCTATCCTTAAAGTCATGAACAAGTGAATACGAAGCAAGTAATATGATGTAGATATATAAATAAGCCACTTTTGTGGTATGTGGCATTGGACTAGTAGAACGGTTTGTGTATATACAAAATATCAATAATAAAATAGTAACATAATTATAGTTAGCGTAGTTTATTTAAGTTATTTCCATAAATGTCGGCATTAGTAGTAGAATAAGAAAACAAAAGAGATGAGGAATTAATCATAAGAAATAGTAATTAAAGCAAATGAAAAAAAATTAATTATCGAATAATGAGTAATAATCAAATGAATTTATATCGACTAGTAGAAAAAGAATTTGAGAAAATCGAGTGACATAGATTCAATCATTTCAATCGAAGTAATTTAAATAAAATAATAAAATATAAAAAATTAATAATGCATTTTTGGACTATAAGATAGGAGCTAATAGTTAAATAATAAACTTCCGCACCATGTTTTATACTTAGGATAGCAAGTATAAATCATAGTGTCTTGTTAACTTGCATTCATTACACTTCGAATGTAGATTAAGAACGGTAATACTCTCGACCTTCTAGGTCCTAGGTCGGAAGGAGTTACATAGTATTTACTATTCATGATACTATTTATAAACACAAAAAATACTATTTATTCACTATTCACTTAGATTCATACGTACTATACGAGTGGTATTTTTATAATTTTCAGATTGTCTTGAGGCATTTGTATGCGGTTTTTTCTTGATATTATATTTTGGTCCCTAATGTTGTTAAAAATACTATTTTAGTCTCTATGTTTATTCATATCGTAATTTAGTCTCTAAATAAAGAGAAAAGAGAGGGAAAGTCATTATCAAATCTAATTTCAGCCTTTATTACGGTCGATCTTCCATCCATATTGTTTATTTGGTGAGGAGAGTATGTTCATAATGGTTTCAAGTCATAAAATAGTTGAAAGAGATAGATCGAAATCTTAAAAAAAAATTAAATTAAATTTTATATATATATATATATATATTCGCATTGAAATTCCCTTCTTCTTCTTCTTTTTTTTTTTTTTTTTCTAATTTTTTTTATTATTGAGTTAGGTGCTAATATTATAGAAAACCAATCATTATTTTTTGGTTTTTCATACGGATCGATGGTGATGAAATATTTGAAAGATAGAGATCGAAATCTAAAAAAATAAAAAATAAATAACTTTTTTATATATATATATATATATGTGTATATATATATATGTGTGTGCGTATGTGTGTAAACCCCCCCCCTTTTTTTTTTTGCTTTTTTTTTTCTAATTTTTGTTATTATTGAATTCGGTGCTAATATTATAGAAAACCAATCATTATTCTTTGGGTTTTTCATACGAGTCGGTGGTAATGAAATATATATGATATATTATCGGAATTTAACATGAATATATATATCGAATTATATTATTCTTATTCTTAAAATTAATTTTTTTGATTTGTAGTTTATTATGAAAATTCTAATGAAATTATTTTTTTATTTTTTTATAATTTTAATTTTATTAAAAATAATTTATTTTTATTTATTTATGAATTTTTTAATAAAGTTTTAGAATAAAAATATCTTTTATATATATATATATATATATATATATATATATATATATATATATATATATATATATATATATGTTTAAATTTGATTTTTTTATTTGTCGTTTCCTATGAAAATTATGATGAAATTAATTTTTATTTTTTTATACAATTTATTTGTTAATAAATATGATTTATTTTTCTCTATGTATGAATTTTTTAATTAAATTTTAGAATATTATTATTTTATTTTTTAAACATAAATTGATATAATTCATGTGGTGGATTCTTATGATTTTAAAATGAGAGTGTTAAAATGTTAAAAGTATAATTCAAATAATTCTTCTTAAATCTTTTCAAAAACAATTAGTTAAAAATAATAATTCACATGTTTTATTTGCTTCTTTTTTGTATAATTAAAATTTATCAAAATTAACTTGTAGTTTTTTGTATTTCAATATATTAACTTTATTTTTTTTCCTTGCAATTTATTTTTTAAAAATATTTTTTATTTATGATGAACACTTTTAAAGCACTCGAGTATGGTCAATGATTAAAAAAATGATTTTATTAGAAATTAACTACGCATATATACACATAACACCAAACACCAATCATTTGTTCTTAATTTTTTTTAGTATTCTAAAATTAATTTCTTTCAAATAAAATAATTGAAATAATGTTTTAGGAGAATTAAAATACATCTTTTTATATTAATATTGTTATTTCTTTGTAAATAAATTTATATAAATTAAATGTACATATTTTAAAAATAATAATAATCTCATCAGCATGAAATAAAAATGAAAAAAAAATCATTTGTTAATTTTTATATAAGTTTCTATATTAATCATTGTTTTATTTTTTTCGATGCAATCTTATGGGAAAAAAAATTAAGGTATTTTTTGAAAGAAAATTTATTAAATATTCTATTTAGGTTATTGCAAGTTTTATTTTAGAAAAAATACATAAAAAATAACAAATCATGTTTTTTATCTACAAAATTAATGAAAAAACATAAGAGAGAATAAATTATAAAATTAAATGTTTTTTTTTTTAACCTTTAATCCAATATATTTTTAGTAGAGTAAATGGTATCAGATTAATTTTTTTTTTTTCAAATGATTTCACATTTTCAGTATATTCTCAAAAGTTTTCTTGTCAGGTGAAATTAATTTTAAAGTTAAATAAGATTTCTGAATAAAATTTCACATTTCAAAAGAAGAGGTAATTTTGTTAACCACGGTATTAAAGAAATTACCTCTGTTTTTGAAATGTTCACAAAATTAAATAGCAAGAAATGATAGAAAGCAAATTTTGATATCCCTGCGAAGGATACCAAGTTTTTGGTGCTCGATCAAAATCAACTGAGGGAAACCCACTCAACTGTCAGTGCAGACAGGTTGTGAATGTGCTGCTACGAATTTGCAAAACTGAAATATTCTAGAAAGGAAGATATTGGACAGTTAAGGTTAATATAATCAGTTTACGTTACAGCATATCCTTTGTATAGTTGGTGAAAAGTCATTGATCAAGCCCCAGATGACACAAATTATTTGTAGTGTCATTTCGATCGATCACTAATCGAACTTGAAGTTCTTGGAAATTTCACTTTACTCAAATGTTGTGTCAATTAGTACATGAGGAAACTTCCGCTTTGGCTTTATCTGTTCATTCTCAATATATTCTTGGCAACTACAGAACAGGTTAAATGAGAATATTGACATTCATTTATTGTTAAGAACAAATGAGCATGTGTCCTGGCTTATACTTTGATATTGGCAAGAAAGCCAGAGGTATTAGTTACCTCCTTTTGTTCAATGCCTCTTAATTTTATATTTGTCTATCTATTAGAACTTGACTTTCCTTGATATATATATATATATATATAACTTGTTTCATTTTTTTTTATTTTATCAGATGTTCTCTACAAAGATTATGCTCAACAGCCACCAACATACTTCAATTATCAGTGCTTCAAGTGGAATTTCGATCTTTCCTGCCAAAGTAATTTCTCTCCTTTTCATTTTTCAAATATGATAAGTTTAATCTTTATTTTTCATGCATTCTATTAAGTGAGATGGATTATCTCATGGTTTTCACATTTACAATCTGTTGGCATACGTTTGCTTCCCCTCAGTCTGCATTCTTTCAGAATACAGGCATTTTGTTGTTCAAATGAGTTTGAAAGAATTTGCCAAGAAATTTTTAACTTGTTGATTTTCATGACTCTTGTAGCTCAAGAAATTTTTCCAGGACTAACAACAGTTTTCAGATTTACAATTCCTGATTCAAGCAAGGTAAAGTAACAGATTGAACGAGTCAACTTAATTACCATTTGAACATGTTCTGAGAATTTTAACACTGCATAACATTTTATTTCCCTGACTTAATCACTCTTTTTTAGCATGACATTGAGAGATGTAACTGCTATCAATTATCATGTTTGGATTTCTTCTAAAGGAAATGGTGACTGCAATAACAGGTGGAAGTGAGATTCACGCAAAACTATTTTGGGATTGCCTCAGGCGTTGGTGTGAAGGCATATCAACAAGGATCCTTTAAAGGAAATAGATATAACCCAATTGTAAATTTCTCGGGTGTGATTGGAAGCACTCTTTTCTCCCTTGGGACTGACGTTACGTTTGACATATCAACAAAGACATTTGACCAATTCAGTGCCGCTTTAAGCTTCAACGGACCCCTCCTTATTAATACCTTGACGTTGTGAGCAATCTTGTGCCCAAAATGATGATTAAAAAAAAAAGGTTCTATTTCTATTGTCTAAACCTTTGTTATAATGCAGGGATGATAAACTTGATACTTTAAAAGCTTCCTGTTACCGGGAATTGAGCCCTCTCACCAGAACTGCCATTGCAGCAGAATTGAAGCATAGTTTATTGCTGAATGGGTCAACAACAGTCACGGTTGGTGCGCAGCACGCATTTTTGCCATTTACATTGATAAAGGCTCGCGTCAACACTGAAGCCAAAATAGATACACTTATTCGGTTAGAATTATGGGAAAAAGTCTATGTATCTATCAATGGAGAGGTTGATTGCAGGGCCACAAACAAGATTTCTAAGGTTGGACTTTCTTTGGCTCTCAGGGCCTAGATTTTACGTCTTCACATGTCAGAACAATAAAATACCATCATTTTTATATCATGGCAGCATGATTGTTCTTGTCTACATACCTTTTTATTTATCAATTAATTGTTGTTGGGGAAAATAGAGTGAAAACTACTGTATACAGCTTACCAATGCAAATGTAAAAGTTACCCTCTCTTTTTTTTTTCGGTAATCAAACAAGTACGTAGAGTGCATATGTCTGTTGCCTTAGTAATTGGGTCAAATATAATACATTTATTGCCTAAGTACTTAATTTGACATTTCAATTAACATGAAGGACTAAACAAGAAAATAACAATACAACGCGAAGGAATGGAATTATGTCGTTCGGCCCACTACTCTTAGCTAGGGATGGAAATGTGTCGGGTAACTGATCCGTCAAGTAAATCTCTTATTGTACTTACTAAAAAATATTATACTCATTATTCTATTCATTATTCACTAAAAATCATTTACCTATTTCTTTATCCTGCCATCCATTATATCATACCCTGTCTATATTCTACCCATACCCATTTATCCGTTAACTTTTTTCTTTAAATTGAAGACTTTTCTTTCAATTTTTTTTTTACTAAATTTTTTTTTACTGAAATGATAAAATTAATTAATATAAAATGGTTGTTAAAGTAAATTAAGATTTACGAGTTGAACTATCTTACAAACCATTATTTAATTTATTTTTTATTTTTTATACAAAGTTTTTTTCTTAATTGAAAAAAAAAAAAAAAAAAAAAAAAAAAAGTCTTAAATATCCTACTGTGTCAACCTTGCATCCGTATTTTGAAAACCATGTTCAGAAACCACATCAGAGGATGAGGATCATCCTCCAGGGCATACCTGCAACTCACATGAGCGACTGCAGTTCTTGTTTTCCTCTCTCATCACTGGAAATTTCAGAAACCTGGTTATTTTTAACTTGCAGCAATTAATTCTTAAAATGCAGCAATTAATCTATGTTTCAACCCATGAACTGATAATCAGGATGCTGTCGAAAATAAACGGAAAAAATTTGCAGAATGCCATCCTTTCAATGTAATGCCAGCAGATTCATTCTGATACTTTATAGACGAGAACTACAGATTTTTCTCACCGTCAAAAGGGCCTGCAGGGCCCTTTTCTTCATGCACCCTGAATATCATGATCTTTTAGTCCACAAAGCATAAGCCAAAATAAGTATCAACTTTCATTTCACAAACCACAGTTAAAGGGGGCAACGCCAGCCGAACTCTGCAAGTACAAAACCATGAATACTGGCAATTATCATTGGGGAAAAATATATTACACACTTAACCACAGCAGCACTTTCTAGTGCGTACTATTTTATGCTGTCTCCGAATGTATCTACTTGCACAATATAAAGCATTAATGTACAGTTAAATGAAAATCACCCAAACCCAGAGTTCAATATATGAAACCTTTACAGAAATATTTAGCAAGCACAAGTTCCTGTCAAACAAACCCTTATAAAAGCTTAAAATTTTGCACAATTACTGGTTGGCTGAAGCCTGAAGAAGTCCATCTCGAATCTGAGTAGCAACATCACGGATTGCACCAGGTCCATGAGGAATAAACACAGCAGAGGATTTAGAGGAAGCACCAATTTCCTTCATTGTGTCAAAATACTGGGTGACCAGCACCATGTCCATGACATCCTTTGCAGTGGTCCCTGGCACATTCTCAGAGAAGCCCAAAACGCTATCTCTCAAGCCATCCACAATAGCTTGTCGCTGGCGAGCAATACCCAGTCCAGAGAGATACTTTGATTCAGCCTCACCCTCAGCTCTCTTGATTTGTAGAATCTTCTCAGCCTCTGCCTTCTCATTAGCCGCCACCCTCAATCTTGCAGCTGAGAAACCACAGTTTTATCAGGGAAAAACATGTTGAGTAACACATACACAAGAGATTCTGAATCTCTAGATGTTTGATATCACAGAAAAATCCAATCAGAAGAATCACAGAAAGTGGCTAGAGTTAATCATTATTACTCACTACAGTAGATATTGAATTCACACAGGTTGGACATCATTGACCAAACGAAAAATAATACAAAATGCAAAACAAAAAAATGAAGATAGGAGAATCTGCATTCAAAATAAAAAGGGAAAAAACAGAAAAGAAGCTAATTACAGGAAACAGTTGAACAAATCTAAACCTGGTGAACTGCACTGTCTGTGTGAAAATAAAACTGTTATTAAACCGTCTGCCTATCCCAGTAATGGGAGTAATTTAAAGGGGTTCGGCACTAATCAACGCAGTTTAGAGATACCAATATTACCTGCATTGATCTCATTCATTGCCCGCTTCACATGCTCATCTGGTTCTATATCAACAATTAGCGTTTGCACAATCTCGTATCCATAAGCAGACATAGCCTGAAAGAAATTATTAGATGGCGAAATTAGAGTGAAAAGTGCCAAAATTTGTGAAAGATAGGTCTCCAACTATTTGTTTTCTTTCACAAGATGACAAGGCCACATATTTTACCTTTTCAAGTTCATCTTCCACAGCTTTGGCAATCTCATTCTTCTGCTCAAAAGCATCATCAAGATTAAGCTTTGGGACACTGGCCCTTATCACTGAAGGGAAAAAAAGAACACATTGGCAAGACCAGCTCGGTTTATAATGTGAACAATGAATGAATTAGAAATCAAATGTCACAAGAATAGCACATATCCAACTGTATATATTTTTTACCATCAAAAACATAGGCCTGGATTTGAGCCCTTGTGTTGCTAAGTTTGTAGAAAGCATCACTTGCCTTGTCTGCCAGGGCACGGTATTGAATAGATGCAACAACAGTGACAAAAACGTTGTCCTAAAAGTAACAATAAGGATCAGTATGTCTCAGCTACCACTGGAGAGCTATGAATCATCAGAGTTGGCAAACATCAACATGTATAAAAACTAAATCAACATCAATGTATCGACAGCTGAACTGTAAGATCAAGGCAGAGTAAGGCAAGATATGCTACAAAGCAAGCCAATAAAGATAGAAATTGTATACTTAGTCGTCACTGTATGCATGGTACAGAAAGGGACCTTGCAGTTGATATTTCCTGCTCACCGCTAAAGAAAAAGCATATTTATAAAATAAAAGGGATAGAAAAGAGAGGAATAACCAGTTTTCAGACTAGGGAAAAAACAGACCTTTGTCTTGGTCTCACAACGAACATCCAACTGCTGCAGCCTCAGAGACAGAAGGCCTGCGAGCTGGCTGCCAAGAAACCAAGGAAGGCAATGACATCCAGGATCAAGTACTTCATCAAACTTTCCAAATTTCTCCTTGATAGCTACTGTGGACTGATCAACTTGTATGCAACAAAATAGATTACCCATCTTCTCTGCACTCAAAGACATCCCAAAATAACATAAAGTCAGCCAAAAGGGATTAAAACAAGATACACAAAATTTAGACAGTGCCATAAAAAGGTGAAATTGCAAAGTTAATTATGATCCATTACATTACAGTCTATGTTATTATGCTTCAGATTCAGAAAAATTGAAAATCTAGGAAGTAGAAAACATTTTAGAAAAAACCATAAAATAAGCACAAACTACTAAAAGAATTCAAACATTTAACAAAACCCCTCTTAAAATTTAGAAAACATTTTGAGCTGTCAACAGGAAGCACAGCTGCACATCTGAAAACATTACGAACAAGGAAAAAACACAAATCACTATGACCTGTGTTGTATTTCTTTGAGAAAGGAAGTTATAAATTAACAAGCAAAGAAAATGGGAATGAAAGAGTGAGAGAATAACAAGAATCACAAGTCCAAACAAAGGATATTGTCTAATAATATTACGAAGATGCTTGTAATATTCCTCAGAAACACCGGCAACAAGAAGTCAGCATATAAGAAACAAAATTCTAGCGAAGGATTCACATCGAAAATCAATCTATGAGCTGTTGTGAAAACCAATTGCAGGAAAGAATTATAATTAATTGATGTGTGAATTTGAAACATATCAAATGATCCTGAAATTTTAGTCTGAAAATAACAGTAAATATTTAATACGATTGGCTTAAAAATCACGTCACCTTAAGGATCAAGTCTTTTGCCGTCTCAAGTAGTACACGTAAATAAGGTTTGATGTATACAGCCAGGGTTCACTCATAAACTTATTTAATCATTTCGCAAATCGTTAGGTTCTTCTATTTTGTTAACGAATCGAATCAGACAAGTTACAATACGCCATTTTGTACAATGTATAAAAACAATAATGGAATTGAAATTCAGATATATTATATTATTATTGAATTGAAATCGCCGGAAGAGAGATGACAATTTTACCTTTGGCTTTCAGCTAAGCGAAGGGAAGGAAGGAAAGAGGAGCCGAAACACAGCAGCTGACGAAAATGACGACTATTCATGATGTGATTTTATCTATTGTATATTATTCGATTGGGCTCTCTCTGGCACGAATTAATTATGTATAATTTTTATTAAATATCGTTACTTGATGTTTCATGAAAATTTAATCTATTGATTGAATGCTAATTTTTTTAAGCGATCTTCAATATCTTTAAATAATTTAACTATATGTTAACAATATATTAAATATAATATTAATAATGTCCTTAGAATGATATTTTTTTCAGAAGTTAATAGTATATTCATAATTATAAATTCAATTATTAATAATAAATTTATTGTAATAATATATATATATATATATATATATATATATATATTCTTTTGATACATGATATTAGAGAGTAGATTAGGTTTGTCTAATAATTTTTCTCATTTAGGTATTTAGAATCTTAGTCTGCTTCAATTTATGAGCTATTTTAAATTGTTCAAATAAACATATATATATATATATATATATATATATATATCGAATTTATAAATTATAATAATATATTTTGAAAAATAAAATACTCATTTGAAAAGCATAAAAATAATTCATTATATAAATTATAATAATATATTTTTAAAAATAAAACATCGACCTTATAAAATTTTATTTCAAAATTCATATATTAAAAAATCAAATTTATTAACAAATAAAATTATATCAAAAATTAATTTGATGAGAATTTTAGTAAGAAAAAATAATTGAAAAAAATAAATTTTAAACAATAAGAGTAATATAATCATATATATATGTTCAAACTAAAATCTTAAAAAATATCATATATATTCTATCATTTTCAAACGGGCTTATTATATTCGATACTTAATTTTCAAGTAAATACCAAACGAACTTGTCAAGAACATATTCGATACTTAACGGATTCAAGCACTTAAAATTCGAGTACTTAATAGATTCAACACTTAATTTTCATTTTTATCAAACACCACTTAAGGAGAATTTTATTTTATTTTATTTTATTTTATTATTTATTTTTTGCCAAGCACAACCTAACGAGAAAAAGCCTATGAGTTCGAATTCCAAAACTCATTAGGTTCAATTAAAGCTCACAACTTACCAAAAGAGACTAGCCTATTTAAATATTTAGAGCTTTCAAAAGACACCAACTCCTTAAAATAGAGGTTGCCTCCCTAAATGAAGGCTTTGGAATCTTCCTTGTCGACTCAACCACTATTCTTAAGAGGAAAAGAATACTTTCGCACCTTATCTATCATGCATGGTCCTAAGAAGTTCAACACATATAATAGAACTTCTAAAAAGAAGAAGAGTACTTACACAATACTCATTCTCCCTCAACAACTCTAAATACAAGTTAAACAATTCATTAAAATTCATTAAAAGAACTATAAGCGAGGTTCTAAGAACACTCTCCAAACAGGTCCATTATATACATCTATTACTCTTCTACTAAATTACACACTAACTAATACTTACGAGTATAAAAGAGTCTTTTCAAGCTAACTTGTCACTTTAAACTACTAACTCGAGGGTTAGAGGGTCCTTCACCAAACTAGAGGGACATATTTTGCAAGTGAATGATGCACAAGGACTTCTAATCACAGTCCATAAACACTTGACAATTGCCACCATCATCATGAACCACGAGTCTTAAAGTTGTTGGTTAAATCAACTAATGACTCATCAATTGGTGTCGTCTATAGGGATTAGAGTAAAAAGTTAGCCAAATTTTTCATATCTCCATCCTTACTCTCTCGAGTATCTCCGGGTTCATACATGACAAAACAAATGAAAGTTCATGAATCCACTATCCCTCTAAAATTTGCCAATCCCATCACCCACCCTATGGATATTGTCCAATTGCATTAACATGTTTAGAATCTCATAGAGAGATTCTTGGCAACTAAAACACAAATCAAGATGCTTGGCTCATTACCTCAAATGCTTGTACGCCTTATGCCTCCAAATACTTCAATGCCCTCACATGTCGCACCTTATGTAGAAAGAGTCATATCATCTCTCCTCATAGACCGACAATACCTATACATGATACATATGGTGTAAAAAATGCATGCCAACACAAAAAATGAGGAATGAGTTCATCATGCATCTCTAAAACCCAAAAAAAAATTTGTATGTTGCATAAAAAAAATGAACCAATAATGCTATGATCTTATAAGGAAAATGAGAAGGAAGAAAGATCTAAATGTCACCATGATGAAAGTGTTGGTATTACTAAAAGATACCAAAAAAAAGAAGCACAATTAGTGTTTCTCATAAAAAATATTACATGTAAGTCTAGAGTTTAAGTGTCATTATATGGAAAAGAATCTTAAAGTCTCCTCTCACGTATAAACCGTTATAAGCATAAGCTCTAGGTATCACCCTTGGCTCTACGTATCCTCAATGTTAAACTCTTTAAAGATTTTTTTTTCAAGATGAATTTGAATATGTATGACGATTTCACCAACCTTAAAGAGAAAATGCAAAACATGAAGAGAAGTCTTAAGCTTGTATTGCATGAGACATATGGCATATACAAAGTGCTTCCCATTACCTTCGATGTATCATGAAGAAGTGGTACAACAACCTAGATCTTGAATCCATCCTAAACTTTAAGGATCTTAACTCTAAGTCAATAGCTCAACTCTCCACCAGACATTCTTATTGAAAAAAGCTTGGCCAATCTTTTCTCCATCATGCGACAGGAAAGAGAGAGCACATGAGCATATCTTTTTTTAATTCTATGAAGAGATTCTAAAATTAGACGACCTAATGAAATCGGTAGCCATGGAAGCCCTCGTTGAAAGGGTTATTGACATTGGCTTATGGAAGAAGATCTATGCCTTTTTTTTTCCATTAGAACCTATATCAATTAAAGAAACTACTTGAAAGTTCGCATTACGATGGAGGAACCAATAGCCACTAAGAAAACACATCTCTATTTCTAGAGAATGACTAAGAGATCAAAAAAGAAAAAGTTACCATCTTTCCACACAGGTTTGAAAAAGAACTTAAGAGGGCCTATGCATAGTCACTTTATGTTTCTAAGGTCTAGAGCACTCCGATGAATAAGAATAGAAAATAGGCTTTTGCAGTCATTTAAGGGAAGGCATTTGTGAATTGCCTCCTACCAATAATGGGTCCTCTTCACTTAAGGAACCTAAAAAATATTACATCTACCATCAAGACTATGGATATGATACTGAAGAGTATTGCTTCTTAAAAAAAGAGATCATAAGGTTGATCGCTAGAGGTTTCCTCAAAAGGTTTCTAAGAGATGATCTCAATCTTTATAAGGACAAACCAGAGCACTACCAAGATAATCTACCAAAAATTAATGTCATCCTACTAGGGAAACCAGCCAAGACTAGCCTAACAAAGAAAAAACTAAGAGAAATATGGTCCTAACTATAGCCTAAATAGTAACACCATAGTATGAGCCCATAATCTTTACCTTGAAAAACTCTACCAGTATTGCTTATCCCGTAGATGAGCCCTAGTCATCACTGCCATCATCTTTAGACATAAAGTCTACTATATTTTGATAGATAATGAGCGTGTAGTAAATATCCTTTCTAATATATAAGGTTTTCAAACCCAACTTCAACTAACCACTTCATCGATAATAGGTATAGAAAAAGACAGGTGCTTATAGAAGAAATATTGTAATTGCCCATAAAGTTGGGTGCTCTTAGGAGATCACCATCTCTCTAACATTTATAGTTGTAGAAATACACTTAGCATACAATGCCATCTTCAAGAGATCCTTATTACATAAGATAGGATCAGTTACCTACATAAGGTACTTATCCCCGAAGTTTCCCACTTTCAAAAGGGATCACCATCGTTTAAGGAAATTAGCTAAATAGGACCATGCCAAAAGAGTCCAAAGTAGCTCTACTAAAAAATTCAATGAGTTGCTCTCCCAAATCCAAAGTCAATACTACATTCGTCATGGCCCTTGAATTTAGGGCCTCATAAATGCACATAGT